TCCTCATGCTGACAAACCACCAGTGACCCCATTACAATCTTGACAGAGCAGCTTGTCAATAGGCAGGATATTGGCTCCTCAACTTGCAGGGTTTGCTGTGGATGGCAACAACTGCAGCAGAGAAAGGGGCTCTTCTGCCATTTGACCAGATGTTCTACTTTCTTCCTTTGTCAAGTGATGTATCTATGGAGACTAAGCTTTTTGGACTGAGTAAATTTCTAAGGGTCTTGGTTTTTTCATGGAACCCCATGGGGAAAGAGGAAACTGGATGAAACACAGCTACTATAATTTGAATAACAAAATGAATGTGACCTTATCCTATATCCTATACCCTGGTGAGGGGGCCACATTGACTAAAGTTATCAGTTAATGTTACAAACCAGGAAAGTGTCCCCTCTTTCTTCTTTGGACAAAGGTGTTAAGCTGATGAGACCTGTGGGTTCAGATTCTCTCCTAAAATGAGGAATGTGATGCAATCATTAAAAGACGTGGAAGTGAAAATAATTCCATGGATTCAAAAATCAAGGTGCGTTAATAGAAGGGTGGTGTCCAGAGATCTAATCTGGGTTCAGTTACAGAAACAAATTATTTCCACTCGTCATTCTAGACAACTAGACAAATCAGGATTTTATTTGATATTAAAAATGGTTGGAGGCCTTTGGTGCTTCCTATTTATATACAATGTAGAGTCTTCACATTGCATATTCATACTCTGCTTTATTTTATCCTGAGAACAATGTGTGAGGCAGGTGGGAAAATGCTCATATTACTCCCAGTTTTTTTCAGACATAGCAATTCAGACATAGCATAGACCCCCCTCAAAATGTCAATGATTTGCTTAGGGTTCCGGAAGAGCAAGTGCCCATGGCTGCACTGGTCTTCATCCCAGCTCTATTTACTTCAAATCCCATGATCTCCCCACCCCAGCTGCCCCAGCACCTTCACTTGTGCAGCCTCTCTGCTAAGCCATGTCTCTCCTGGTCACAGGGAGCCTGGAAAGTGTGCAACAGAGCAATTCAAATACTCGTGGCTGTTGTCTCCTTGCGAGGTGAGCTGCCCCGTGTCGCAGACATCTATTGATGACCTGTTCACCTCAGGCTGGTTCTTATTCGGTTTGGAACAAGGTGGAAGGAATCATAGAAGAGAAACTGGAGGTCACAGAGCACGCAACCAGGGGATGCATAATTTCATGGGAACAGTGCCAAGCAGAGGTCCAGCACATGCTAAGAAACCTTGGGCAAGTCACTTGCCTTCCCTGTCCCCACCCGCTTACCTGTAGGTTAACAAAAGTACCAACTTCAAGGAAATGCAGTACAGGTTAGTTGACTTAAAATGTATAATGTACTTGAAGCAATGCCTAGTATACTGAAAATGTTAGGCAAAAGAGACATAGAATAGTTTCAAGGAAAGAAGTCGTGAACAAGAATCAGAAAAAGGAAGGAATCTGGTCCGGCTACTAAAAGTGTGACCGGAAACAAGTTATTTTTCTTCTTGGGCTCCTATTTTCCCCTCTATTAATAGGAGACAACAATATCTATTGAAACTGTTGTAGAGAAGGGGTAATAGTGCTTTGTAATGTACTGGTCAAATTGTCAACTATCTTGGTAATTACCTTCTTTGCAAGCGACTTGTACCACACAGTGCAATTTTAGGACTATGAAGCAGAAAATGTCAGAAAGTGATTTATATAAAATGTAAATACAACCTGCTTACCCCTTCTTAAAATTCTTTCCATCTCACTTGGAAGAAAAAAAAAAGGAAAAGAAAAGAAAAGAAAGACAGAAATGTCATCATCTGCCCCATCTCTAGCTGTCAAAATCCCAAGCATGCAGAGTATTCCAACAATTGCCACCATTTTTTGAGTCCTCACTCTGTCTAGTCCCCATGAGTTACATGGATTATCTCATTTAATCCCCATGGAAATGCAGTAAGTATAACAAACTTAGTTTTACAGATGAGGGATCTAAAACTTAGGTTAAATAATTGGTCCAATATCAACAGCCACCAAATAATGAAGCTGATTCAGCTCAAGTCCCTGTGATACCAAGGACCGTGACTTTAACCAACCACTCTATATGTTCCTTCCATTAAAAGGAATCTCTCCCTACTCTGAAATGATACAGTACTTAGCTCATATTCTTTTCAGAGGACTACAATTCTACCTTGAATTATGATTCTGGGGGTACATACCACAGCTTAACTGCTGGCTTACAGACTTCCCCCAAATAGATGATAAGCTTTGGACATCTGTGAACATGCCCTAGTTGCCAGGCAAATAGCAGCATGACAACGGGGGGAAGAGAAAATTCATAACTTTCTTGAGCTTTAGCTGCCTCATCTGAGAAGGATGTTGGAAATCCCTACTTCACGGGATTGCTATGAAGGTTGTCAAATAACAAAAGTAATACAATTTAATAACAAGTCTGATACTCATTATCCAAGGGAAAATAATTAATGAATTGGAGTAGTACATTGCCTCACAAACAGTGGGCCACTCTTCTCGAGGGATTTTGGGCAAGAGCAAGTTTCAAAGAGCATCAGAAGCAGAACACGGATACAAGGTGGCATTGGCTAGGCAGCTGGGGATTTCCTTATAGAGCCAGCAGGGCCTACTTTCTTTTTCTTTTTTATTTATTTTTTTAAAGGTTTGTTTATTTTTTGAGAGAGAGACAGAATGTGAGTGGGGGAGGGGCAGAGAGAGAGGGAGATACAGAATCCGAAGCAGGCTCCAGGCTCTGAGCTATCAGCACAGAGCTCGACTCAGGGCTTGAACCCACTGAGTGATCATGACCTCAGTCATCAGTCATGGATACCCAACCAACTGAGACACCCAGGCACCCCATGAGGGCCTACTTTCTAGGGTAAGTTAAACTAGCTAGAGCTGAGTTGGAGAATTGTGATTGGTGGGTGGTAGGTTTCCCCAAGAGCAAAATATTTCCCATAAGTGCAGGCTGACTTAGGTTTAGATGTGTGACATGGGCCGGGCTACTGGGGTGGCCTCCGTTTTGTGGGTCCAGATATACAAATTACTGCTGTCAGGGTCTATTAAGACAACAAAGTTAAAACCACTGTGTAAACATAAACAGAGTCCTACCAATGTGGTCACAATTCAAGTTCATTAAGTCCTACTGAAATCACAGGGGTTCGTGGGACCGATTGACTCTTAACCAAGAAGAGATAGAATCAATAGGGATATGAACACAGCAAGGAGAATGACCCAGAATACCTGCCTCATTTCCCTGGAAAGTAGCATTTTAAGGAAAGTAATTAACAAATACGTAATGGTGAATAAAGAGAAAAATGTGTCAAAGGAAGATGAAAACATATAGAGAAGGGGTTACATGCTACCATTACTTGCAACCCTAAGGGGGCAGCAAGTTGGAGGTCTCCCTATCACTTCCTTGTGGCCCACCTGATCGGCATGTTCTACCTTCCCGCCGGGTTACAGGGGAGCAAAGTTGATGGTTCCTTTGAAAGGGCTCTTGAACCAGGAAACGCTACACAGGTGTGAGGGGCTAGTGCTCTTGTTCCTATTCCAGAGCAGCACAAGGGCATCCACCATGTGAAAGCCCCACCTGGGTCAGCCCCCTTCCACCAGGCCTTTCAGAAAACCAGGGTCATTCATCCAGCCGGGATTCACTTTCAGGGATTCATCAAGCTCTCCGTATAGTGGAGATCTAGAAACAGCTCCAGGTGACTTCTGTGAGAGACTGACTATATTCATCAATTCTTAATAAAGTTTCTAACCAGGTTTACCAAGGGAGCCTTAAATGGGGAGAACAGCTTGTTTCCTTGACAGCAAAAATCGACAGTTTTTTTTTTTTAATCTTTTGTTGTCTGTCAAGAATTCCATAGAAATAATAGATGCCTAAAAACACAAGGAAACAGCATGCATTTTTTTTTTTCCAACTTCAGGGTTTGCTTCCAAGGAGACTGACAAGAGAGGAGGAGGGCTTCTGAAATACTAGCAGTGGGCAACAAAGACCCTCAGAGCCAATGGGGGACAAGTTACCACTCAAAATTTGCCTTTCCCCAAGTCAAGGAAGTCTTTGCAGTCTTAGGACCGGCAGGCTGCTGGGGAAGCAGGAAGGCAGCATTTCAAAACAAAAACAAACAACAAACACTGCGGAAAGGGACGACTCGGTTTGCATCGCTAAGCTCGGTCCAGGCAGGCAGCCCCGGACCTGGCCTGCTTTCGTGGATCTCCGGGTCTAGGCGCAGCCTCCAGATCAGCGGCCCCGCCGCGCCAGCCTCGGCCCGGGGGCTTCCTCCAGGCCGGGGTCTCCCACGTGGCGCGGGGTCTGCGGCTGCCTCGCCCCGGAGCTGTGAACCCCTGCGTTCGCCAGGCCCATCGATTATTAATGAGCCATCGTTAAAAGACTTGCTGAGGGAGGGTCCGATTTACTTGCCTACTCTATAGAGAAAACAAAGAGGATAGAGGTGGAGGGGGGAGAGGGGGGCACTGGGGAACTAAGCGAAAACGCAGCTTTCAAGTTCAAAAAGCTTATTTTGCATGAGAAAACACATGGGGACGTGAGGATTGGTGGTAGCCATCCCCCCTCCCTCATCTTTAATATCTGCTCAGCAAAAAGTCTGGATTAAAACCATCGGCCTCTGGGACACCTTAAAAAATCCCTTTCTTCTGTGTCCTTATGTACAAGGGTAAAGACCAGCTTTCTCTGTCCAAGTCGGGAGTGCTGAAGGGAGAGCTAGCAGTGGGAGGCCCAGCCGGAGCCTCTGTCCTCTGCCTGTTCCCGATTCCATGGCCTGAGGCGATGGTTTGCATTTTTAGGACAACAGCCGGCTATCGGCAAGCAGGAGACCTCTCGTCAGGCTTCATTACTGCGTACAAAATGACACGAGCGAGCCTGTGGCCACAACTGCGCTTATGAAGTGCTGCGAAGCCATTGCCTGTCCCTGCAAACCCAGCCCTCTTCTTCTGCCCACTCACCCACCGACTGCCCCAAACCTGAGCTCAGTTTCTGTGTGCAGTGTCTTACCTCGGGACACATTGCTCCCACTGGAAATCCGGCTTTGCCACCTTGCTTGCTAGCTGGCTTATAAATTTCCAGAGAGACAGAGAAGAGCTGTGTTTGCCAACTGAACTTTGTAGTTCAAACCACCCTTTCCCTTCCTTCCCCTCTGATATGCTTTCCAAGGTTGGGGTGTTGCACCATCTCCGGATCTAGACAGGATGCTTAGCCGGCATTGGGAGCGCAGCTGGGAATAGAGACCCCTCTCCCTACAAGGTCATTTAAACCTTTTTAGTTACCTCCCTAATTGCAATAGTCTTATGTGTCTGGCCTAAATCATAACTGCGCTCTTAAAAAGAAATCCCACAGCCGACAGCTGCAGATACTACCATTAAATCCTATCTATTAAGAGCTAATGCCACTCAGTGTATTTTTTACAAGGGTGAATCTGTTTGCATCAGCCAGAAAACAGGTCATGACGGTTTGTTCAGCGCTGATACACCAACCATTCTAAACCAATATATCAGAATAAGGATATGTAAAGACAAGATTACTGATTATGAGATTACTGATTATTCTGAAGAAATTATCGTAATAGAAAACATGTGTATCATCAGCCAGGTAGACTGAATTTGACCTTGAACTTTTCTGAAGCCTCTGGGGCTCAAGTTATGTGGAAGATTGTTAGGTGAACCTAACATCTGAATCTTTAAACAGCCACTAGGAAAGACATAATGTGGGACACTAAAAACAAATTGCAGACCACTGGCTAACAGGTGTGGAAAGGGAGATCAGCATATTACCTAGCAGCTTCTTACCTGTTAGGGTAAAAACAAATGGTAAAATAACCATTAGTTAGGGTACGGGCTCGGCTGCTGTAACAATGAGACCCCACATACATGTGGGTCACTTAGGACACAGCTAATTCTTCCTTTGCCTAGCAGTCCTGAGATAAACTGGCCATACTGACGAGCAAGTCTACTCCACAAAATTATTTGAATCTAAGTTCCTCCATCTCATTGATTTAGCAGCTCCTCTGACAGTAGTTCTGACACTTCCATATAGAGGTTGGTAACATGTTTCTGTAAAGGACCACAGAGCAAATATCATAGTTTTTGCAGCCCACATGTAGTCTCAATTGAAGATTCCTTGTTTTTATTTGTCGCTCTTCTTGTGGCAACTCTTCAAAAATATGGAAACCATTCTTAGCTCACCAGCTGTACCAAATCAGGCTGCCCCAGTGATTTGGGCCCACAGGCCATAGTTTGTCAGTCCCTGCTTTAGGACATCAGAATCACCTGGAGGGCTTTCTGAGCCCACCTGAGTTTCTGATTCACTAGGTAAAGGTTTGACCCAAGAATCTGCACTTCTGGGGCTCCTGGGTGGCTCAGTCAGTTAAGTGTCCAACTTCGGCTCAGGTCATGATTTCTCGGTTCACGAGTCCGAGCCCCACATCGGGGCTCTGTGCTGAGAGCTCAGAGCCTGGAGCCTGCTTCAGATTCTGTGTTTTCCTGTCTTTCTGCCCCTCCCCCGCTCACACTCTGTCTCTCAAAAATAAACATTAAAAAAACCTGCATTTCTAACAAGTTCTCATGGGATGTTTATGCTGATGGTTTGGAGACAGCACAATGAGATCCAAAGCCCTACAGTGTTGCCTTTGCCTTTATGGGCAAAGCGAATCTCTTGTACATGCATGTTCCAGCACAAAAGAAAATGAAAAAAGCATCAAGAAAAAGTCTCTTTAAGTATGTAAGCAGGAAATTGTACACATAACTTTCACTCACATCCCTTGGCCTAATCTTAGTCATATGGCCATGAATGGCTGCAAGGGAAGTTGGGAAATGTAGACTATAAATGGTTGTTCATGAATTCTGCTACAACTCAAGAGGTTTTGTTGTTAAGAGGAAGGAGGGGAGAGGGGCGCCTGGGTGCTCAGTCGGTTAAACATTCAACTTTGGTTAAACATGGTTTAAACATTCAACTTTGGCTAAACATGGTTAAAAATCCCAAGGTCCTTTGGGATTTTTAGTCTTTTATAAGCTTCTAGAAATTTACCAACCATTTGTGATAAATAATAATAATAATGAATTTATTTCATATATCAGATAGATTAAATGTAAATGAAAAAATAATCATGAGATTACCTTACAATTTTGTTTTTAATATTTTAGAATATTTCTGTAATCCTGGGGCAGGAAAACACTCTATGTGGTGGTAATGAAATACCAAGAAGGTAAAGAATGTCTGATTTAACTACAATGCAATAAGTCATATTCCTAAATATTCCCTCCCCAAAAAACAAAGATCAACAGACATATGGGAGAAAAATACTTGCAACAAGTATAACAATAAACAATGTTAATATTCTACCCAGGGGACATGGAAGGCAATTCTCAAAACAGAAATGTACACATAACCAAAGAACGTAGGACTATACATTTATTTTCAATTATAAACAAATATATTCAAATAAAAATGTATCACAATTTCTATCAAATTGGTAATTTCTTTTTTTTTTAATGATGATACAGAAATTAACCAAAGTGATAGAAGAAAGGTCACACTAATTCTGTGCTAATACAGATATATTTCAGTTTGGTTATATTCAACAAAAGTTTTAAACATGTACTATAGTGGACAAATAGTTAGGATGACCCCCATGACCCTGCTTCTGGGTGTTCATGCCCTTATGTCATGCCCTCCCCCAGAGTATCATGGGACCTGTAATTTATGTCCAGCCAATAGAATGAATACAGAAAAAAAAAGAGGGGGAGGATACATGTGATTACATGATTATGTTACATAAGATTTTAACATGTGTCTTGCTGGAGTATGTTTCTCTTGTTGGCTTGAAGAAGCAAACTGCCATGCTGGGGGCTGCCTCTGTTAGGAGGCCAAATGGCAGTGAACTTTCAGCTATCTCTAGGAGCTGAAGGCATCCTCTAGCCTATAGCCAACAGGGGCTTTTGGTCCTAAAACAGTAAGGAAATGGATTCTTTCAACAATCTGAGTGAGTTTGGAAGTGGATACTTCCAAGCACAGCCTCTGGTGAGACCACAACCCGCACTGATGACTGACACCTTCACTGGTGCCTTGAAGATACACTAGCTAAGTCACATCCAAACTGTTGACCCATAGCAACTGAGCTCATGAAAGTGTGTTGTTTTGAGCTAAGTCTGAGATAATTTGTTATGCAGCAATTGATACTAATATGTGTATATTAACCTAAAAATTCTACATTTAAAATTTTATCTAGGGGCGCCTGGGTGGCTCAGTCGGTTGGGCATCCGACTCCAGCTCAGGTCATGATCTCGCGGTTTGTGAGTTCGAGCCCTGCGTCAGGCTCTGTGCTGACAGCTCGGAGCCTGAAGCCTGCTTCAGATTCTGTGTCTCCCTCTCTCTCTGCCCTCCCCCGCTCATGTTCTGTCTCTGTCTCAAAACTAAATAAAACATTAAAAAATTTTTTTTTAATTTTATCTAAAGAAACTTAGCCACAAGGATGTTACTCATTACAGTATCTTATAGTTATGAAAAATTAGAAACAAACAATATATGCAAAAATAGAAAATCTGTTAAATTATGGAAAAGCCACACAAAGAAATATTCAGCTAACAAAAACTGCAATGGAAATAAAAACATATTTTTAAAGAAAAATGTTTTAAATACAGCTATAAATGAAAATATAGCTTCTAAACCAGCTTGCATAATCAATTCCCACTTTAATTTTTTAAATGTTTATGCATGTATAGAATATAGTGCTTAAAGTAACATACCCAGGTGTTAATAACAGTTATCCTTGAGAGGCAGGATTATAGATTTTTAATTATAAGACATAAATTTTCACAGTTTTCTACACTATACATTTCATGTCTTTGCAAAACAACCAGAACCTAAAACTGAATTTTAAATGCAAAATGAAGGGAAGAAAAGAGTCCCAGCTTCATGAAAAAGAAAAGGCTAACGTCCAATGCAAATGTTAGTTATTTTTATGGTTATTAAATGTAAGATGCAAATGTCCCCAGAGGCTAATAAACTGCTAACAATAATGGCTACCATTTCTTGAGCATTTACAATGAGCCAGGCACATGCTAAAAATTTGGAGTGCGTTCGTTTGTTTAATCATGGATAAAAAGTTAGATTTATGCCCTGTGTTCACAGAGAAGGGCAGCCCATATGCCTGGACATCCTGCTATTCATACCTTCACTTTCCCCCTCAATGTAAGGCAGATAACTAGTGAGACACATCACCAGGGGGAAAGGAGATCCTGGTCACCCAGGACCTGGATCAACTCCCTTAAATGTGGTCTGGGCACTGGTCCCAAACCAATCAACTAGTTTTGCCATTGCACAGCAGTTCTCAAAACCTTGCAGTTTTGGTTCCAAGGAGCCAGAGAGACGTTCTTTATTTGTTGTGGAGTCTACCACAAAAATAGAAGAGGCCCTTACCGCACACTTTCCCGTTGAATGACTGAAAACAACAGTTGCTCTTACAGATGCATGGAAAGAGCAAAGATATTTCAGTAGGCTTGAGGACAAGCTAAAAATTACCAGTTCCTCAGGAATTACTCATTCTGCTAGAGAACAATTGAAGGTTAGCTCTTCCCAAATATCTACCTCACTCTGCAAACTGAGGTTGATCTTGGTTTAATGGACTCAGGCAAGTCATGTAATGTCTAGGACCTCAGTTTTTCTCCCTGTAAAATGAATTTCTGTTACTTTCCCTAATCAGAGGCTAGTCAGGGTGATCCCTTGGTTCTTATCAAATTGATGGTATGTGATTCTAAGACAGATTCCCTCATCCAGGTGTTTTATTAGTCAAAACTTTTTAAAAAAGAAGTCTACAAGATATGTCTATAACACTGACTCAATGAATGAGTAAAGCCTTCAGAAAGATCAATATATAGAAACTTTGGGCTTACTGAAAACACCTTTAGGGGATTTTCTCTTAATGAACTCTACATGCTTCTAGTATAGTGCCTTCAAATGACATTCCAGTAGAGTTCCACAGTCCTGTGAAGGCAAGTTCCTCGCTCTTCCACGGGGGGCAAGAAAACCAATAACACGTACTCTTTGATAGACTGACCACAGAGAATCACTTCTTGGAAGGTCACTTTTATTGCTTTAAGTCGGTCTAAAGATTTTCTGTCTGAGAAAGTACAGCAATGACATCTGTTCATTCTTCAACACAGACCAGCCCTTCACCCATGATTTTTCAATATTTAAACAAACAGCCAAAACAAAGCTGTGCATCAGTGTTAACCTTGTAAACTTAAAAGTCTGCACCTGTACAATTACTAATTAACATGTTCAGTAACAAAGCTGGTAGGTAACGGGTGACATTCACACCTCTTAATTGGTGCGATTAGCGGTCCTTTTGTTGTCAACTGTTAGCAGCTCTCCTCAAGTGTAAAATGCCACAGGTAAAGGGACATTGGCCATGGGTGGAGTGAAAGGGGGAAGGTGGGAGTGAACAAAAGTTTGTAAAACAGATTAGGCTGAGTTACAGGGAAGCAAAAATATGGTCACTGCAAGAAACTGGCTAAAACTGCCAAATGATTAGGAGCATCAGAGACTGTATCTTTTTTTGTTCTTTACTGGTGGTGTAAATCTTGACTGTTTAAAAAATCTACTCCTCCATTACATTGCAAAATGGAAAGACCCCACTTTCAGTAAATTTAACCGTGAATGGGAAAATCCAAATCAATTTTGTTTTTAAATGAAGGAAGGCATGTCTGGGTAGCTTTTGCGCTCCTAGCAATACACTATAATATTTACCATGAGATTCTTGACAAGAGATATCCTAAGGTCTTTAAGATAGAGCCCAGGATATACAGAGGATATATACAGGATATACAGAGCCCTGTATTCCTTCAGAAATACAGGAATCAAGACACATTTCTGTATTTCTTATTTAATCCTCTCTTCTCTTTTTTAACAAAAGTAATAGCAGGCTCCCCTTCAGCTCATTGAGTAACTTCCTTATGATAGTATCCAATGTTGAACTCTCATCATCAATTACCAATAAACTTTAATTTAGGTTTCCTAAAAGGCACGACCCTGTATTAGGATCATTCCAATTGTCAGGATTTAGCTTCCAGGCTTGACTTTTTAAATTTTTTTTTTTCAACGTTTATTTATTTTTGGGACAGAGAGAGACAGAGCATGAACAGGGGAGGGGCAGAGAGAGAGGGAGACACAGAATCAGAAACAGGCTCCAG